GCAGGGGGGGTTTGTGGTGGGGGTTTGGGTGGTTTTCTCGATAATAGAGAATGGTTATAATAATTGGGTTTTCTTCTATTTTTATTAATTTTTTTTTTTTTTTCCCCAACAATTTAAAAAAAAAAAAGAAAAAAAAATTTTATTTAAAATAAAATGTGTTTTAAAAAAAAAAGGAGCGCGCGTGGGGGGGGGGGGGGGGGGGGGGGGGGGGGGCGGCCACCCCCCAAACTTTTTTCGGCCCTTCGGGCCTCAGTTGAGCAAAAAATTGAGGGGGGGGGAGGGTGGCCCCCCGGGCCCCTCCCCTGGATCCGCTACTGTGACAAGACTACCACTTTCTAATGAAAGGTAAGGGGTACACTTTCTCTCACAAACTAAGAGGGTACGCGGTTGGAACATGGGGTGAAGCCTCCCCATGACTTTATGACTTATCGTCCAACTAAATTGATCAAATGTTTACATCCATTGTCTAATTCCGAGTCTCTTCTTTTTTTCAGATGTTGGCTGGGTTGCTGTCTTATTCCATTCTGCATCGATACGTGTAAAGATGTCATTCACACATGTCCAAACTGCAGAGCACCGCTGGGAAAGTTTAACAGACTTTGTTGACAGCAAGTGCTCGCTTGTTAACTGCTACAGGCTATTTTTCGGTCTGTTTGGGATAAAGTTTTTCGCAACGTTTCGAATAAAGATTGAGAATTAGAGTAAGTGATAATTATTGCGCAATGAGAGCGACATATTTTCATGGACTGGAAGACCTTTTTGCAACTGTTGTAATCAATTCATTTCAGTCTTTGAGGACGTTTTGGTTACATAATAAATCACGCCGTTCGCGGCAAGAAAGAATATTAAAGTAAAATGTTTTGGTATTTCCTTGCTGTTTATAATAAATTATTCACTCTGTGGGGCCTTATAGAATCCCTTTAATACTGGTAATCACTTACGATTTTTAACTTTTATTACTCCTTTACTGAGAACATATTATATATTTTGTGGGTGTACACATTTATACTAAAAACAGGAACAATATTAAATTACTCAACACACATTTACTACAAAGATGCGTGTATCACACAGATGTACAACAACCTTACAATAAATAAATAAATACACCTTTTCCCCTTCACTACCAGGAAATAAATTTTTATTAACGTTAAAATATTATTCATTTTAATTAATGTACAAACAGTTTAGCCAAGGAAGCAAACATTTACGTTTGTGACATAGTCATCAATAAAAGATTTTTGCATCAAGAAGAACAATCTTACAATCACTTCGTTAGACTTGTACAGTGTACACGTATGTAATTTGCTGCTGTGCTTGGCTTAGTCAATATATCTACAAAACCAGCGAACAGATAGCCAGAAAATGTGCTGCGTGGTTTAGGTTACGGCGATATTTGAACGGCGAAAACATTGAAGGATAAACGAGCAAAAACTTGAATTAATTTCAGTTTGGTCATCCTCGGAGACCCAGGGGCGGTCAGTCGGGCCAGGAGAAAAGGCGATACGAAAGTTTTCCAGCAGAGGCGGAAAAGCCCCTGGGTACCCAGGGGCTCTTCCGCCCATGCTTGAAAACTTTCGTCGCGCCTTTTCTCCCGGCCTGACTGACTGCCCCTGGGTCTCCGAGGATGATGTTTGGTTATTCTTCTAAAAGATAGTTATTTTTACCGAGTTGAAACTATATTGGCATTAATGAATGTTCTTGTATATGTAAATTGCTTTACTGATCACAAATTAGAACGATTAATTATTTTCTGCAATGATTACACATTCATTATATCGACTGATATTTTGACGCTAATGAAAATTTATTTCCTGGTAATGAAGGGCAAAAGGTTTAATGGTGAGATTTCTTCTTCATTATAAACAGCATTTATTATATATCATTATATGATATTTGTTCTTAAAATGGAATTATGCTTTCTGAAGAGCATTTGTAACATTACCGGTCGCCAAGCAACATTTGAAGTAAACTGCAGGCTCGGAATACCCTTCCTTGTAAGATTTCGCTAATACTTCGAGCCGCCAATTTTTTATTCCAATTTTGAGTCTGAGCTTTAAGTGTCGCCAGCTCATTTTTTTAAACTCTTTTTCAAGGTACTTAACCAAACACATCATCACTGTTTAAATAAGAGTCTGGTGCATTCACAGGAAGTCCTTGCTTCAGCCTTGCTTTCATCTTTGCTTTCTCTTCCTCTTCTTTGGCTAACTGCTCCTCTCTCTGAGCTTCTAAAATTGTAGCCACTGACACTTCTTGAAGCTTTGAGTGGGCCTCCCTTTCTTCATCCTTTTTCAAAATCAAACAAAAAATTTCTATAATAAGTTGGCCACTGCATTTTTTTTTAGTTAAAAGGGTGTATGGAAAAGAAGCCCTTAGAGACTCTTGATGTTATGTCACATTCCTTTCTTGTTTTATCAGAAACGAAAGGACCCTTTTAGAAAAATCTATAAAAATATAACAATAAAATCTGCAAGTCTTTTTGAGCTTATCCCGTAAGGAAAATCCTTTCCCGTTTTGGGTGCATAACGAATCATATATAACGATTGATCACATTTTTCAAACAATCAATAACTTATAACTCCCTTAAGCAGTCAACGAAAAGTCTCATTTTAGTGCTACAACAAAAAAAAACACTTTGAATAGAGTACAAAGGTATATGTCAGACACAGTAAAATATTTCAAATACTTAATTTTAAGAGGCTTTTAACGGCTGGTTATCATGAAAGTTGTTCACGTATGTTGTCTCTGGAATTGCCCAGTTTCGATGTATCACAATTCATACTTAAGGAGACGAGGTTGAGCAGAATAAACAAAAGGAATTAATTTATTCTTTCTCGAATCTCATTGTCATCTTATCTTTTGTTTTAAACCCCTCATCCTCACAGCCAAGTAAGATTTTCAGTAGTTCGAAACTGGCCAATTAAATTAAAGGAAGTTAGTGGGTAAAAGTCAATAAAAAAAACTCCATCGCAAGAACTACAACTGTCGTAATTATTAAACAGAATTTAATTCAAAGTTGCATTTGTTTCGCTTTGTTCTGTTTTTTTTTTTGTTTGCCCAGGTCGCCAATCAAACTCGCGATTATTCCTAACGTCACAAAACCTTGTTCCGCTTAAGGTTTCGTTTTTAAGAATCGTGGCAATCGCAGAATCCAATACCTTCCGCTTACTTCCCACAGAGTAAAAACTTGAGATGGCTCAGCAGGACGAGATAAACTGGCTGAAGGGAATAGCCAAAAAAGAAGGCGTAGTTGAGAAAATCTGTCCACGGAGGCACGTCAGGCAAAACGATTGGAACACTGAATGGAACAGTATGTTTGGTGGTAGACATGAATACGATTACATCTCCGACTATGAGTGTATTTTCAACCATCCCATGGATCACATGGGTAATCAACACTTACAGGATAATCAAGAGCGCTGGCAGAAATTACAAGACGCCAAAAATCAAGGTTGGCCCTTACAAATCACTGTTCTTGCCCACTTTACAGAACCGGAAGCTGCCGTCCAGATCGTTAATGATCATGGCTTCAGAGGTAGGCTGAAGAAAATCAACGAAGACGACGAACACAACGACGTGAAAGCAAACCTCTCTTGGTGGATTCCTGTATTTAATGAGGAGGTAAAAAACAACCTACGAGAGCATCTCGGAGAAGTTATAAAACCTTTCACTCGTGAAGAGGATGATGACCTAGATGCTTTAAAAAACCAATTCGCAACTTCGGATGCGTTCCTGCCTGATCCTGATAGGTATGGGGAACGCTTTTTTCTGTATGGAATAAACCAATTAATTCAGCATTACCGCCAACTTATTGATGGCGACCCTCGTTACAAAATATTGGGAACGTTTTGTTACAAGAAGGAGGTGATGCATGCCGTCCTTGTATGTAGCGAAGCAGACGGCGCTGCGAAGTTTGCAGGCTATCCCGATGTGTTATCGCCAGAGGAAGATTTCAACAGCGTAGCTGCTGTTACGCGTGATGTTAATGGAAATTGGTTTTGGTGGCCCCAAACAACCGGAGGCACGATTGTCCGCCTTCAAGCCCATGGGCAAGATTATCCGCGATATCGTAGGTGGGACCACGTGGCCTTTGCATTCCATATTCCTTTGAACAAGGTAATGGTGTGTGATCGGCCTGCTAACCATCAAGGAGAAATCAGCGCTGTAGGCGAAAGTGGAGATGAAGACTGATATGTTGATGTGAAGTGTAATTCTTGCTATAATTTTAGTGTTACCCCTAGTTGCAGATGACCTTTAGTTGTGCGAGTTTGATTGTTGACTTTACAATGTCAGTTGATATAAGTACCTTGTACAAACCTTGAACGGGCTAACATTAGATCTATACAGGTGGTCGTTTAAAGAATAATGTCATTGATAATTACGTTTTTTTAGACAATCCACATTGCTAAACCAAATTATTGAGACCACTGCCCAGATATGCTTTGTTGTGAACAGGAGATTAGATTTAACTGCCATATAAAGGGTTATTTAATTCATTTTTTGGATATAAAACCAGGTCTTCTAGTTCAGTTAATTTCTACATCAGTATATTTCAAGCTCGGATCAACAAATTAGATCTTTCACCAGATTTGGAGCCGAGATATGGAATATCATCTCTGCGGCCAACTAAGCACCTATCACACTTCAAAGATTTTTTGGATCATTATATGTTTCTGGGAAACTTCCCACCTACACCTCCCCTAAGCCAACATTAACAGTTACTTCTCACTTAGGGCAAAATGTTGGCTTAGGGGAGGGGTAGGTGGGCAGTTTGCCAGAAACGTATACTGATACCGATTTTTTATTTAGTAAAATACACTGAAAATTAAAAACATTTGTTTCAGCCTCCAAAAGCCTGAATTGCCAATTCAGCCTTGCAGGCCAAAGTCTGATACAGCCCCTTCTGAAGCCATTTGAGCACAATTTAGGCCAAAACAGCTCGTTCAAAACGCTATTCCAGCCCACGCTGGGACCTACTTCAGCACTTAGGTTCAAATCAGCCCTAGGTAATTGGACTGTATTGGCCCCGATTTAAGGGAGCCAAATTTGACTAGAAAAAAGGACTGTATTATACTCACCGAAACGGCCCTATTTAAGGGCTAAAACAGATCTATCTTATTTACAGTGTTTGTATATACTTAACTGGCACTACAGTGTACTTTATTTCTGTAACATACTTACTGTAATGTTCTTGGTATGCCTTAAATTCTCAGTCATTTCATTTCTAAGTAGTGATAACTGGATGTTAACTTAGATACATTTAGTCATCTCCCTACTGAAATGTATCAGCCATGAAGGTCTGTAGTCTATGAGGTGCGCATTACTTGAAAAGTACAATCTCAAAATAGAGAACATTGTAACGCAGATTTTTTGGCCTTTTAGTAGGCTAAGTTCGGCTTAGAATTTGGAAGTTTGAACCTTGAAGTGCCCGAGGACGATGCCATGACATTACTGTTACTTACTGTTAGAGTACTTTGAGACATTTTGAATTTATCACTCATTTATCACGGTTATTGAAACTATAAGGTTTGAAATATTATCATTACTTCAAACATTTAACATTTTTAAACTCTCACAGAAGCACTTTGAGCTCCTGGTTGGATTTTCAATGGCAGTTCTAGATCGAGCAAAATTCGTCTTTAACTGATCACAAAGTTTTTTGTTTATCATTGTCAAGGTACTTTACTTGAAACGACATTTTGACAAACTTCCACCCAAAGTCATTTGTTGGTGAAAATCTTTGATTTTATGGAGATCGGATAAAGAAGACAAATCGCTTTTAAGGCCTTTGAAAAGTATTACAATTTCTTGGAAACTAAAATCTGTTTACAGCGTTCAAAGAAAGAAAGAAGTGTCTGATAGCCCAGCACTAGTGGATTTTGCTATCGGGCTTGAGAATTCTGTTTTTAACTTGCCCGACGGGCAAGTGATGTTTTTTGAAGGAATTCGAAAGACAGAAGAACTGTAAAATCAATTCTGCTGATCAAAAAGCTTTTGGGGCTAGTTGAAATGACGTCTGGGCAAATAAATGCTAGCTTCAGCTTGTCCGCATGGCAAGCTGTAAAAATGATTTTCTTTGCACCCTGGTTTACATCAGTGAAAATTTAAGTACTTTAAATATCTGCATTACCTTTGTTACAACGGACCAGATTTCCTCTACCCACACAGATTAGCCCTGCTATTTGTGGCTACAGCAGTATGTAACTTTTCACTTTTTTTAAATGTTAAATGAACTTAAGGTTAAAGCTCTTACTATGTCGTGAAGAATCGTCTTATTAAAGAACATGGTCGGATAATGAATACCATCATTCCACCATCTTATCCTAGTAAGTTGCGTAACAATATTTAAGAGAAGTTGAATGAGTCGACTTACTGTCACAGTGATCACAAAAGGGAAGTAGCCAATAACAGAGTAGTTGCGTTGTTAAGAGAAAGTTGACTGTAACAAATCAATAACTGCACGTTTAAACTGAAGGGTTGTATGAAAAAAGGCCCAGAGACTCTTGATTATTATTTTTATGTCTAATTCTCCTCTTGTATCGTCAGAAACAAAAGGCAATTTGGAAGAAAAGTTTACTATATACTGATATTTTTCTTTCAGTAAATTAAGACTAGAAGTTAAACCTCACTGAAATTACAGGTGATGAAAAAACTTTGTTGGTTGCCATCATGACAGCAATGTGAAAATATGGCCTACACTTCAAAGATTGATAGAAAATTATGCTGTCCTGTGCAGAATTAACCAGACGGTCTGGTGAGTCAGCTCTTGGGTCCAGCCATGTTAATTTAAACATTTCATGCCATATTCTTATCATAAAGACACTGTTAGAATATACTGCATTCTTGTTTTCATTCTAGCCTTGTCTTTAAATGTTTTGGTCATGCTAAAGGCTAGGCCTACAGTCTTGCCATAACTATATTTTTGTTAAGGGAGGCACACTTGCTAAGTCTCAAAAGTCCTGAGTCTCACAATTTCATGACCAACCTCACGCTCTCACGAGTTGGCAACTGATTTCTCACGCTTTCTCGAAAAGTCAAACTCTGAAAAAATTTTGGAGCTCTAGGGCTCGTTTCCAACTTAGCTATCAATATATTGATCATCCAAAGAAAACGCTCAGCAGTCGCGTTTGATTACATTTCAAGATGGCCGGCAGTGAAACATAGAAATTTCAAAACCTAAATCATAAAATCGTGATGTTCATTGCTTTAGCTTTAAAGTGATATGTGACTTCCACTACCCACAATCCCCGCTGGAAGTCCTTCCACTTAGAAATTTGGGACATCTCAAGACTTTTTACCCATTTCTCACTAGTTTTCCAAGCTCTTGGTTCAGAATCTCACATTTTTTGCCTTTGGGGGCAGGCAAGTCTGGGGAGGACACTGCAAAATGCCCAGGAAACCCCAGTTCCATTTATGAGACCCTTCAAATATAAGTTCCCCAAATGGATCTTCTACTGTTTTTTCAACTTTTGACATGGACCAGCAATCAAAACTATCATGTCAACACTGCTGGAAAGTACAAGTTAAAATCAGTTAAGTTGCCAATAATGGTCCACAAAGGCATAAATTTTTACAGACGTTGGTGGTCCATTCCACATGAGAAAAGAAAAAATGACCATTTTTGAAATAAACTACTCTGGGATTTTAAGAGCATAGCCAAAATGCAGAAGGACTGAAGTTTCGAAAATCATCAGGACATAAGTGCAGATCCACCATTTGATACTGAGGGGGGTACCCAAAGTAAGAGACTGCTAAAAGACTCATATTCCGGTAATAATGAATGCAATAATCTTTTAACCATAACTCAAACAACTGAGTTCAATGAAGATCAAATGCAACATGAAATGTTTAGTTTAACCATAGCTCTCCATTAAAAACCACAGTATTTTCAACTTACATTTTTTTGGAGAAATCAGTAACTGCCAAAACTATTGACATGGACGTTACGTAACGTCCATGAAATTTAAAGGAATTTTTTTCTCTCACAGTTGTTGTCTAAGCCCGATACAAAAAATAACAAAGATGCCTTTTTATTTGACCAAGTAACATACATCTGTGACAACAAAACCAATCAGTTCCAAAAGGACACAAAAAAATTTGATGTTAAATTTTGTCATACTTCATGGACATTACTTTCATGGACGTTACATCATGACAACAATAAATGCAGGAAGCTCACTCATAATTGCCTAAAAGCCTGGTTCTAATATTAATTTGTTATATAACAACAATAATGTATATTTAGCATTGCTGAATATTATTATGGAGCTAAAGAGAGCACTTAGAATCTTATTGGAGACAATAGTGAATTATTATAAGGACATTATTAATAACTACAATAGTCAACAAAAATGTCCAAGTATAAGTTACTTCATCTTTTAAAGTAAACATATCAAATTGTCAATATAGCTCTGTGGAAACTTCTAAATTGCTTACAATCTCTAAAATTTGAGAATAATGTGGAACTGAAAGATAATTAATGCTTATAATAATTATTAATACACCAAGTATCAAACATATCCATTTTTCATCGTAATGCTTAGAAAGAGCTTGAAACCAGGCTTTTCTTTTAAAAACACCTTTTCTACAAGCAGCTTCTTTGAAATTTTAAATTATGGAACAAAAAAATACATGAAGATCAGCTTAAAAATGAGTCACAAACATCTACTTGGTGACTTATGATTTTTTGTCCAAAAGGTGAAAATTTAAGGGAAAGATAAAGCCTATTTCAAAACTAATATTTGTGGGAAAGAAAGAAGGTACAGGGAATTTACATTTTTGACATCACTGACTTCTTTATCTTTTTTCCACACTGTAACGTCCATGATCCAGAATGTAACATCCATGACAGTGTTTTGTCATCAAGCAAAGAAGGCACACATCAGAAAAGAAATATTTATCACTTTTTTATTGTAGTATCACTATTTACCTAAATGACAATATCATTTGTTTTTAGTTTTGCTTGCAGAATTCACAGGAATTTAATGTTTAACATTTGCACTTAAGAACATGGTTTCTTTGGTTGTAACATCCATGACAGCTCAATTTATTGAAATATAAATTTTTGCATCAATTTGATGAGTTTTTCACTAAACATGCAACTAGCAGCTATCTGTCATAAACAAAGTGAAAGGGAATGGTTGGTTGTTATTATGTATCTGTTCTAATGATTTTTCTCTAACCACACTCACGCAAATGTAACGTCCATGATCATGGAATGACCCTGGTATGTATGATGGGAGGCACGTTTTTCAAAACTGTACTGTGCAGTAATGAAAACAGAAACTAAAGGTATACCCAGGTATGAGAACATTTACGTATCTTTGAGACAAGTTAAAAACTACTCACTATTTCTCCAACAAGAACCATATTTTCTCCTCTGATAAGGAAAATTCCCCTGGGAATGTCACCGTACTTGTCTCCAACATGGATTCTTTCTATGGTATCTTGAAGCAAAAGGTTGGCTGAAATATCCCAGAAATAATTCAATCAGCACCTACACTGTTTGATCTTTTTACCTATATTCTTTCAAGTATAATGTCTGTTAGAACAATGTTAGGGGAAAGTGTCCCTGCTATTTTTGTTTATTTGATGTTTGTTTGCTGCCTGGGTAATTCAGTGATACCAGTTCTTGCTATGATCAAGGAATAAATTAATGTCTGAGGAGCTTCCAGCTTCTTCCTCTTTGGAGGGGAAGGGTTTGGGCAACTTACAACAATATGATACCTAACGCATTGACTCCTGAGCTCAAAACATTAATTTTTAGAGTGCTTTATACTCACTGGGATGTTACAATAACAGCAAACACTAGACAGTCATTTTGTAATTTGTTTCCAATGTAACAAGGGAGCAGGCATCAAATGTTTAAGGCAGTGGGGAGGGGAAGGGAGAAAAATAGAGGGACTGTTACAATTTCACTACAGATCACGTTCAAGGAGTGCGTTGTTCCAGCATTAGTAGGGATCTGATTGGTTGGTAGATAATCGATGTTAATTTGAATAAAGTTTCTAACAAGTCATGGACAAGTTGTCATTTCTATAAAATGCTTGTATTGTGCAGTGGTGGACGTCCCTTTATTTTTTTCCTCCTCCCATACCGACCCCCACCCCCTATGTAGATAAGATAGTCATCTTCAAGCTAGAATCAGCCAAGATCGCTGCCTGTAGCACTCATTCCTGACTATCTTACAGAAAAATAGGGGGGCTGCAAGCAGTCTGTTTACTCACCAAATTGATCTATAGATCTCAGATATCCTATCAGAGTTCTTCCATCTCTTAAAACAACCATAAGTTTCTCTGTCAATGAAAGACGATAGAAGCAAGAGGTTTGTCTCATTTAATTATTTTATTCATTCACACTTACTGATAGCTATTGTAATATTATTTCACCCACCCAGATCAATGACAACACAAGTCATAGACCACTGACGACACTGAGATCTTCGGAACATAAACTCAACCTTTAGACCGATTATGAAACATTTCTGGATCTACCCTTGTTCAGTTAAAGTTGTGTGAGCTATATTTCACAGTATTTCCATCTTTAAATCACCGTTAGATCGTTAATAGAAATCTTGAAATATAACAGCTCACAAGAACTTTTTAAAAATACACACACTGCCCGCCTGGATTGCCTGCGGTCAGTCAACCTGTTGTTAACATCGTACAATACCTTAGCCTGAAAAAACGGCCGACATTTGGTGACGCTACCGCTCTTTTCCCCGCCAAATGACGCGGGGAAACCAAAAGTAGCGTTGCCAAATGTCAGCTGTTTTCACAGGCTAACACTACCTACAAACTTATAATAACAAATTAAAATTCATGAACTTTACTGTTAAATAGCCTGAAATAAAGGTTTGTATGATTAAATTTATCAGAGTTACGCAGAAACCTACTGTCTATCTCCTTTATAAGGCTTGCTGTTCCAGGAAGAAATTGATGCCGAATTCATTAAAACCAACGTCACTTGGAATTCTTGCATGGAATTCTTGATTCGAAGACTCGGGCAAGAAATTATCTTTGGGGAATATAACGCTTATTTTGATTCAGCCAAAATGTATCACCCGCCGACAGAAAACCAGCCAAACCGGTTAAATGGCTACAGTCCTGTACCAGTTTATCCGGCTTATCCAGTTTATGGCGAGGTCCCCATAGACGTAGTCTGTCCGTACTGTCAGACGAGAGTTTTCACCGTCACTACCAAGGAAGATGGAAACCTCACTTATGCTGCAGCGAGTCTGCTGTGTTTTATGGGGTAAGCGAAAGCTTAGAGCAGTTCGATGTTTCTTTTCTTCTTTGCTTTGTCACTTTTCTTGAGATGTGTAATCCGTCCGCCCTTAAAAGATAGCCCGTTTGAGGCGTTCGTATAGTGAGGGACGGAGCAATTCTAAAATCAAACAAGGAAAACAGAGAGAGAACTCCGCTCTTCATCTTTCCCTGCTCACTTCTGGCCTAACGCTTGGAACAGGCAATGAAGTGGATTCACGTGAAAATACAACCATACTGAACCTTTGAACTTAAAGGGGATTTACACACTTATTTTTAAGTCGTGTCAAAGAACCGCCTTGTTTGTTTTGCAGTACCTTAAGTCTGTTTTACTTTTTGTTTTTTACGTGTTCGTTGTATAAGAATTTGAAAGGGACATACTCGGGACGTTTCATATATCCAAAAATCAAAAGTTCACTTCAATGATTTAAAAGAGTAAGATGACGTAATTCTCTCGGTTCCTTTTGCTTGTGTTTGTGCAGAATTGCAAGAGAGCTCAATCTTTCCCCACTATAACGTTTCTTACCGTCCGTTTATGGAATATTAAAAGAATAACGGAAATTATACTACTACATGAGAAATTTCTGCAATCTGATTGGCTTAGAGCAGTGGTATTTCAGCTTAATTTGAAATACCTACATGTGAAAATTACAAACCTTTTGCGGGTAGTAGTATAAACAAATAATAGCATGATTTGTACGTGATATTTGGCGTAAATACCACTCGTGATATTTCAAAATTGTCTCAAATTTGAAATTACGTATAACAATTTCGAAATATCACTCGTGGTATTTATGCCAAAGATCACTACAAATCATGCTATTACCTATACTAATGACACAAATACACTAATATAATTCGAAAAATTTATCAGTCATCCCAATTTAATTATGTAATGATAAAAATGCTTCCAAGAAAAAAAAAAAGCCAGATTTCACCAGTACGCACGGGCGTATGTGCGTATATGGACGCTACACTCCAGGGAGGTGTCCATTTGGATATTAGATTTGTTAGCCTCTCTGAGATGTTTTTCTCCTAATTCTTAGAAAGACTTTAACAGGGTGTGTGTTTGTGGAAGGGGGCGATCGGGCAGTCTCCACCCGAAAGCGGTACCTTTTTCAGGCTTCAGGTATATAAAAGGGCGAGGATGTCGCAATCTGGCTGTACCATTTTAATTTATTAAGGTATGTCTATACCATACCGGAAAACTCTTAAGAACGATTATTTTGGATCAGTTTCTTTAACGGTGCAATTACAAAACTGCGCCGCGCCGATCTTGAAAGTGAATCGTTACATATCCGATATGTTTCTGAGACATTCTTTGTGGCAGTGTGAAGAGTTGCAGGATACGATCCGTTATAGTGAAGACCTCGGNCCCCCCAAACTTTTTTCGGCCCTTCAGGCCTCAGTTGAGCTAAAAATTGAGGGGGGGGGAGGGTGGCCCCCCGGGCCCCTCCCCTGGATCCGCTACTGTGACAAGACTACCACTTTCTAATGAAAGGTAAGGGGTACACTTTCTCTCACAAACTAAGAGGGTATGTGGTTGGAACATGGGGTGAAGCCTCCCCATGACTTTATGACTTATCGTCCAACTAAATTGATCAAATGTTTACATCCATTGTCTAATTGCGAGTCTCTTCTTTTTTCAGATGTTGGCTGGGTTGCTGTCTTATTCCATTCTGCATCGATACGTGTAAAGATGTTATTCACACATGCCCAAACTGCAGAGCACCGCTGGGAAAGTTTAACAGACTTTGTTGACAGCAAGTGTTTGCTTGTTAACTACTACAGGCTATTTTTCGGTCTGTTTGGGATAAAGTTTTTCGGAACGTTTCAAATAAAGATTGACAATTAGAGTAAGTAATAATTATTGTGCAATGAGAGCAACATTTTTTGATGGACTGGAAATAAAGTTATAGCAGACACTACTCTGAATACATTTTTGCAACGGTTGTAATCAATTCATTTCAGTTTTTGAGGACGTTTTAGTTACATAATAAATCACGCCTTTCGCGGCAAGAAAGAATATTAAAGAGAAATGGTTTGGTATTTCATTGGTGTCTATAATCAACAGAACATTAGATGGCTGCTTGAAGATACACAGTTTCCCTTCTCGTGTAGAAAATATATACTATGCATGGCCTTGTAAAATTCTCTTTATTTACTGGTATTTATTTCTTACGATTTTAACTTTTATTTTTTCTTTACTGAGGACATATTATATACTTTGTGGGTGTGCACATTTATGCTAATGACAGGAAAAATATTACTCCACACACATTTACTACAAAATGCGTGTATCTTACAGATGTACAACAACCTTACAAAAAATAAATAATGGTGAGATTTCTGCTCTCTCTTATTTTAGAGGGTCAAGGGCCATTTTGGCAGACCAAAGACTGTATTTCAAATAAATCATTATAAACATCATTCATTATATATCATTATGACATTTTTCATGTAACGGAAATATGTTTTCTGAAGAACATTTGTAACATAATGTCACCAAGCAACATTTGAATTACACCGAAGGCTCAGAATACCCTTGCTTGCAAGATTTTGCTGTTACTTCAAGTAGCCAATTTTGAGTCTGAGCTTAAAGTGTTGCCACCTCATTTTTAAACACTTTTTCAAGGTACTCAACCAAAAACATCATCACTGTTTAGATAAGAGTCTGGTGCATTTACAGGAAGTCCTTGATTTAGCCTTGCTTTCGTTTTTGCTTTCTCTTCCTCTTCTTTGGCTAATTGCTCCTCTCTCTGAGCTTCCAAAATTGTAGGCACTGAGACTTTTTGAAGTTTTGAGTTGGCCTCCTTTTCTTCATCCTTTTTCAAGATGGAACAACAACATTATTAACACCACTGGCCCCCAATATCCCCATACAAATTCTCCAGACTTAATAATAAAGATTAAAAACATAGTTACGAGAATTTGTTAAAAGATCAAAGGTTTTCCCTTTGGTGATCACTTCATTCAGTCTCATCACCTTTTATCTTGTTAATGTATTGACATTCTTTGGAGAAAGTTAATGTTGGTCTCTTTTGGGGTTTAACATGGTTAAAACAGTAACAATGTTTCATCTAAAGAGTTCTGAGAAAAAAGGCTCTCTGGGACTCTTGATGTCATGTCTAATTCTCTCCTTGTTTCATCAGCAAACTTAAGTCAATTTGGAAGAAGAACCTTTATGTTTATTAAAATCAAAAAATCTGCAATTTTGTTTCTCTTTTCTTTGAGTAAATTAAGGCTATGGTAATTTATAAAACATCACAGGGATGAAGTTTATTGCTGCAGTGTTTGCAGAAGTTGGCACATCTTTTCAATACTGAGATTATATTGTGAAATGAGGATTTTAATCTGTTTTGTGTGTTTCTGTGTAGTGTGTTTTTGTGTGTTGCTTGTGATCGTGATTATGATTGACAGCAGCAAAAAAAACAAAAGGTGGGTTTTGAACTTTAGAGTTTGCATCTTTTTGGAAAGTGCAGTATTAAGGGGCCTCTCCACACATGAGCCCCATCCAAATGCATGCCCCTTATTTGAATTTATAATCCCTGGGACTTATTTTCAGAATGGAGAAGTACATACACATGACAAAATTAAGGTATTATTAAGATATCTAAAAACTACTCACTATTTCTCCAACAAGCACCATATTTTCTCCTCTGATAAGGAAAATTCCCCTGGGAATGTCGCCGTACTTGTCTCCAACATGGATTCTTTCTATGGTATCTTGAAGCAAAAGGTTGGCTGAAATATCCCAGAAACAATTGAATTCAATCAGCACCTCCACTGTTTCAAGTATGATGTCTGTTAAAGGGGGAAAGTGTCCCTGCTATTTTTGTTTGTTTGCTGCCTGGATAGTTCAGTGATACCTGTTCTTGCTGTGATCAAGGAATAAATTAATGTCTGAGGAGCTTCCAGCTTCTTCCTCTTTGCAAGGGAGGGGTTTGGGCAACTTACAATATTATGATACCTAAACAACTGACTCCTGAGCTCAAAACATTTACAGCGTTTTATACTCACTGGGCAGTTACATTAACAGCAACCACTAGACAGTCATTTTGTAATTTGTTTCCAACGTAACAAGGGAGGCAAGCAGGCATCAGGTGTTTATGGCAGTGGGGAGGGAAGGGGAGAAAAATAGAGGGACTGTTGCAATTTCACTGCAGATCGCCTTCAAGGAGTGCGTTGTTCCAGCATTAGCAGAGACCTTATTGGTGATTAGATAATAAATGTATTTGGTTCAATGTTTTGGACTAGTCATTGACAAGTTGTCATTTCTATAAAACGCTTGTAGTGTGCTTTTGTTTCGGACAACAGCAGTTTCGGACAAGTCATTGACAAGTTGTCATTTCTACAAAACGCTTCCTGTGTGCTTAGCTGTTGTGGAAGTCCCTTTATTTTTCTCACCTCCTCCCAAACTGTCCCCCACCCCCTCCATAGATAAGATAGTCATATTAAGCTAGACTCGGTCAAGATGGCTGCCTGTAGCACTCATTCCTGACTATCTTACAGAAAAATAGGGGAACTGCAAGCAATCTGTATACTCACCAAATTGATCTATAGATCTCAGATATCCTATCAGAGTTCTTCCATCTCTTAAAACAACCATAAGTTTCTCTGTCAATGAAAGATGATAGAAGCAAGAGGTTTGTCTCATTTAATCAGTGACCACAGGTCGTATAAGCCCCCGCTTTGGCTTTACTGAGTTTGTACTATATGAACGATGGAATAATAAAGTTATGTTAAGTTAATTATTTTATTCATTCAAACTTACTGATAGCTATTGTAATATTATTTCACCCACCTAGATCAATGACAACACAAGTTGTAGACCACTGAGAACACTGAGATCTTCGGAACATAAACTCAACCTTTAGACCGATTATGAAACATTCCTGGATCTACCCTTGTTCAGTTAAAGTTGTGTGAGCTATATTTCACAGTATTTGCATCTTTAAATCACCGTTAGATCGTTAATAGAAATCTTGAAATATAACAGCTCACAAGAACTTTTTAAAAATACACACACTGCCAGCCTGCCTGTGGTCAGTCAACCTGTTGTTAACATCATACATTACCTTAGCCTGAAAAAACAGCCGACATTTGGTGATGCTACCACTCTTTTCCCCGCCAAATGACGCGGGGAAACCAAAGGTAGTGTTGCCAAATGTCAGCTGTTTTCTCAGGTTAACACTACCTACAAACTTATGATAACAAATTAAAATTCATGAACTTTACTGTTAAATAGCCTGAAATAAAGGTTTGTATGATTAAATTTATCAGAGTTACGCAGAAACCTACTGTCTATCTCCTTTATAAGGCTTGCTGTTCCAGGAAGAAAGCTCATAGTCAATGTTATGAGCCAAAAGCTGCATCAACTCCGAAATGTGTCAGGCCTTACAAGTGAAAAATCCGCTGTCGGCTGGTAACAAGTCTGAATCCATATATGGTACTATCACGTGCTTCTTTATTTACGTTTGAAGATTCCGTGACAATTTACACGTGAATCAAAACATCGTGTGACAAAGTTCGAAGGCCAACCAAGGCCAATGCAACGTCCGGTGGAGATCAAAATACAAAATTCCCCGTCGAATAACTGATCAAAGTTCGTACAGCCGTCATTTGAGGTGTTTCCTGCCGAGAGTAAGTACAGCTCTTAATTTTCTCGTCGAGAAGAAGCAGGACGCTGTTGCGAAGATGTCGAGCAAGCACAGAAAAAACACCAGTGTCTCGCTGTCAATGAGCAACTTGTTGGAAGAACCGCTGCAGTTTGCGGCGGTTCTGATTATGACGACTTTGTTCATCTTTGCTCACACTCTAGGCATTCTTTTTTCGATTTATGTTCTCTTAACACCCTTGTACGGCTTTATGGTGATCTATTTGCTATGGACATACTGCTTTGATATGAAGACGCCCTCTAAAGGAGGCCGAAGATACGAGGCATTTCGAAGGCTTAAAACCTGGGATTATTTTCGCGATTACTTTCCAGTGCGACTCATTCGCACAAAGAGACTTGACCCCAACAAAAACTACATTCTAGGATACCATCCACATGGAATTATGTGCGCTGGAGCTTGGGCTAACTTTGCTACCGAGGCCACTGGTTTTAGTGATCTCTTTCCCGGGATTAAGTCTCATCTTCTAACTCTAAAATGTAAGTCACATATTTATCTTTTTAAATTTTTTTAATTCCTTGCATGCTAACGCATATACGATTTAGATAATTTCATACTGTACAAGTAAACTTTACGAAGCCTCCCTCGTTCACTCTTTGTACATCTTGCGAGTGCAAAGTACATGTCATGCACCTATTCTATTGAAAGGTCAACAGCCTATGCAAAAGATTTTCAATTGAGAGCATTGTTTAGAGATAACTCAAGTGTTTGATATGTATGTATATTTTATTAGTCATTGATTTTGCAGTGTACTTACTTCAAAACATCTCGCTTTTTCAACTCTGGCAAATTGTTCTTTTCATGACGTAAATAACACGTCTGAAATTGTATACCGCATCCCTATAAACAGGAAACGAAAGTCGAGCTAAGTCTGCAAGCTAAGCTTTCATCTCTCTATTTAAAGCAAATAGAAAATTAAGCTCACACTGGTAAACGCAATTTTTGCAGATAAGTACCTTGCCATATTAACGAAATTCAAAATTTATATTTAAAAGTCAGTTTTAAAGAAAGAAAGAGTAAATTTTGAACTTTCAAGGCTATCAAACGTATTTGAAAGTTGTTGCATGCACCACCCCGGATGAATGAAGTGTGTGATGTATCACTTTACAGTCGACCCTCTGAATGGATCAGGAAGGGATTACCCTGTGAGCAACTAGAGAGGCCCTTCCATCTTTTTTAGGGAGGGACCATCAGAAAAGTTATCGGGGATGGGGATGGGAAGGTGAAAAATATTCATGCCAGGGAAAATTAACTAAAGAAAGGGAAAAGGGAAATGTTAGCGAAAAAATATTTATGCAGCTTTAAAATTCCCACCCCGGTCATAACTTTTCTAATTGTCCACCCCTTAAAGGGCCAGGGAAGCTCTGCTCACATGCGTGGTGCTACTTTTCAGATAAATCCTCTTGCACGCTGAAGTAATGATAATTTATTGTTGAATACATTATGCTCATGTTTGCAAGTCATTCTTATTCATTGGATTCATTACTGTTATTTTATTTTTAGTGATGTTTAAGTTTCCCCTTTGGCGTGACTTTATCATGGCTGGAGGTGTGTGCGATGTCTCAAAAGAGAGTATCCGCCACATTGTTACAAAGCAAGGTACCGGTAATGCAGCGGTGATTGTAGTTGGAGGGGCAGCAGAATCTCTTGATGCCCGTCCAGGCTCTTACACTCTGACCCTCAAAAACAGGAAAGGATTTGCAAAGATGGCTCTTCAAACAGGGTAAGGAGAACAAAATAATATTTTCCTTAGTGTTTAGTTTCAATACTTTATTCCTCCCAAAGTAAATTTAAGAACAAATCTTATTCTTAATACCCTTACTGTATTTCTTGTTCTGAGAACTGTGCATTACACATTGAATAACATTTAAGGTTGTCACCTGGAAAGTACAAAAAAATGGCCAGTTCATGCACATAATTTAAAGGGATTGTAGAATATTAAAAAGGTGTTCTTTACTTTTTTCAAAGAACACATTCTTGTTTTTTCAGCTCTTATTTTCCTAGTCAAAGAGCACCCTCCTGGTGTTTAAGAGGTGTCAGGGTTAAATTCTGTCTGGAGCTCAAAATTTTTTCTTTGTAGTAATTACTCCATCTTTTTCCCCCGAGGACCAAACTTAAAATTTGCGCTGTCTTTATTTATCATTGTGTAGTTTGTATTTAGTCGTACATGAAACTAATTTCCCTTTTTATATAAATTCCTTTGTAGGGCATATCTTGTGCCAGTGTTTTCTTTTGGTGAAAATGAATTATTTAACCAAGTCAGTAATCCAAGAGGTTCACGGCTGAGGGCTTTTCAAGACAAGCTGATGAAAATATTATCCTTTGCTCCGCCTTTGTTCTTTGGTAGAGGCATTTTGCCAAGAATTATTGGCATCATGCCGCATAAGAGACCGGTCTGCACTGTAGGTATGTACTACTGAAGTAGCAGTCACAGGCAGATTTAGATGAAAATAATTGTATTAAAAAGTTTATAAGAATTCTCTGTAAAATCTGTGGTCTAGAGACTTTATTGTGGTCCTAGATGCTGTCGATACAAAATCAATAATAGTATTAACAGCTGGCATTAAATCTCCATGCCTCATGATCCTCCTTCTGAAATTTCTGAATTCTTTATACTGTCAATCTTCTAGTATGTGACCTCCCCTAAATAACTGCTCCTTCATCATTGAGAGGTGCAACATTCCTTGAATCCCTGATAGTTTTCCTGTGGACAGATTTTCTCCTCTAGGGTAACTTTGTGTCAGCCTGTGAAAGTTATTTTAGTTATTTTGGTTCTNTATATAAATTCCTTTGTAGGGCATATCTTGTGCCAGTGTTTTCTTTTGGTGAAAATGAATTATTTAACCAAGTCAGTAATCCAAGAGGTTCACGGCTGAGGGCTTTTCAAAACAAGCTGATGAAAATATTATCCTTTGCTCCGCCTTTGTTCTTTGGTAGAGGCATTTTGCCAAGAATTATTGGCATCATGCCGCATAAGAGACCGGTCTGCACTGTAGGTATGTACTACTGAAGTAGCAGTCACAGGCAGATTTAGATGGAAATAATTGTATTAAAAAGTTTATAAGAATTCTCTGTAAAATCTGTGGTGTAGAGACTTTATTGTGGTCGTAGATGCTGTCGATACAAAATCAATAATAGTATTAACAGCTGGCATTAAATCTCCATGCCTCATGATCCTCCTTCTGAAATTTCTGAGTTCTTTATACTGTCAGCCTTCTAGTATGTGACCTCCCCTAAATAACTGCTCCTTCATCATTGAGAGGTGCAACATTCCTTGAATCCCTGATAGTTTTCCTGTGGACAGATTTTCTCCTCTAGGGTAACTTTGTGTCAGCCTGTGAAAGTTATTTTAGTTATTTTGGTTCTCAGATGTGCTTGGTTGACACTGCATTTCTTTTAGTAAAGTTATGTGTGTAGTTGCTAATGTGTGTCACATAATTTGTTACCCTTTAGTTTGTATTTTTGTATTATATTTTCCTCCATTCAGTTACCTTTTAGTTGTTCAGTGAATCTAATGTTTTGATTCCCTTTCAGTTGGCGCTCCAATCCCAGTAAAGAGAGCAGTCACAAATCCCAGTGCTCAACAAGTCAACAGGCTCCACAAGAAATATGTCCAAGGACTTATAAATCTGTTCGAGGAACATAAGCACAGATATGGCTTGGCAAGAAGTGTCAAGCTAAGAATTGTCTAGTTGATTGGTATGGTAAAATTATTGTCAGATTGACTTTAAGAATCAAGATTTATTATTAAATATTTAAATGCCCTTTTTTGTAAAAATCTGTAAAATTTTTGAGAGAAAAGACTCAAGCAGTAGGTTTTGCTTCAAGTTATTTCAAGCACTGACCAGCTCCTGGTTGTTCCCATATAACAGCTTGTTCAATAATATGAATAAATTCAATAATAAAAATGTTAATATATTGATGAAAGCAGATAGGTGAAATTTAGGTGAAATTCATTTACCAAATTGTTTTTCTTGTGTATGCTTTTCTTTGTGAACATTCAAATGATAGAAAGATTAATGAAAGTAATATATAGTGAATCAATATTCACCTCAATATTTAGAAGATTATTGTGAAGTTCTGAGTTACTGGTTTGGTTTATTGAAAGTGGTTTGCATTAAACAATCTTCAAATGCAAGCTTTGTGCCATTATTTTACTTGTTTCTCTTATCTTTTATTATGATCCCTTAACTTTCAACGTGCCCCTTCGTAGTAGTTTCATAAATGAAAAAAAGGAAACAGACTTTAAACTCTCCTGTGTCCATAATTTTTGCCTGAGTAGGGCAGGGTGACCTCCATGTTGGCCTGGGGTGTAAGGGTGCCTCAAAGGGGAGAAGCCCTGGCCCTGTTTAAATAAAGAAGTCTAAACCAATCAATCAATCAACAACTTTATTTAAGTGTCTAATCTTCTAGCTTGCCGTCAGGCCTACTAATCGGGGACACAACCTTCTACAGTATCTCACTATCTTGTGTAGGACTGAACCCTGTTAGGATAATGAACAAAATACACGCTCTTCCTTTCCTTTAACAAACTAAGGCCCTTTTGAGGACAAGCTCCCTGTCCTGTTCACCACAGAGAGCACAAAATAAACCACACATAGTCCAGGTGTGTCCAATAGTGTGTCCAGTCTAATCACTCCCTCCCCAAAGTAGAAACTGAACAAAGAACTCTTGCCGTTTTTCCTTATTCCGAGTTATTCCTCATTCTTATCCTACACGTATGTAGGATGAAGTCCAGTCAACCCCATAAGAGGAAGGTAGTCCCTTCATTTCCACAATTAGCCTGCGAGCAGTCTCTTATTTTCCTTGGCTAAGTTACTACACGCGAAACCTAAGCACGAGAGCGACGAGGCCGCTTGTCGCGAGAACCGAGGGCGTAAGCCCAAGAAGAAAAAATGTCTTTCTCGTCTCGTGTCAGTCCCTAAATAATAACATCGTGGTTTGCAATCGCGCTGGATGAGATAAGAACTGGACGGATTTTAAGAGAATAGGCGGACCGCAAGCAGTCTATTCCACAATCCTTTTCTTTGACTCCCTGTAAAGAGGTACCACTCCCTCGAAACGCTCCCCCCCCCCGGAAGATTACCAGTTCGTTCCCAGGTCTTTGTTGAGCCAACAACACGTGCACAGATCACCGCGTTGAAAGATTTTTTCAAAAGTTCACAGACCGGAAGGCCATAGTCTAATATTACCATGTATTTTGACACGGTTTTTGTTCTTTGACCTCTGCGAAATTCTTTGATTTAATTCGTTATAAAGTAAGGATTGCATCGGGACAAGATGCCGCTCGTTGAATTTGCGCCTCTTCGCATACCTCTCCATCGTCGGTTGGAGACAGCAGCAGTTGCGTTGTACTATTACTCGTTCTATTTTGGCGCCCTCATTGGCACTCTTATCATACTGGGATTGTTTTTTACCTCGTACTATCCTCTGGCCATCCTTTACTTGTCATGGGCCTACCTCATCGATGGACGTACACCCGAACACGGAGGACGAAGATCAAACTTTATAAGAAAACTGCGAATATGGAAGTACTTCAGAGATTATTTCCCAATCGCTTTGGTTAAAACATCAGAACTTGAACCAAGCAAGAATTATATATTTGGCTACCATCCCCACGGTGTGTTATGTGCCGGAGCCTTCTGTAATTTCGCCACCGAAGCCACAGATTTTACCAACGTTTTTCCCGGCATTACTCCGCATTTGTTGCCGCTTATGGGTAGGTATAGAAGGCTTCTTTAAAAATCTTATTTTGTCAGTGCAGAGTACATACGCGGTCGAATGCACGAAATCAGTGGAACGTTGAGTGTTTTGTAGCCTGTCACGCAAGTGTCACGTAATATAACACAGAGGGTACTTGATCACGGTGTTTTATTGAACTGAGGAGTGGAAACCTTTTTTAGACACTTTTCCTGCTTGACAGTTTATAGAAATGGTGAGTAATGGGCGGAGAAACTCCATTATAAAAAAGGCATGCTTGTTGGAGAAAAAGAATTAAACCTCTATTAAAAGGAGGCTTATCCGGGCATGACTCAGGCCATACTCCAATGTGAACACCTAAGTTTTGTTTGAAGATATTTCTGTAAAAATATTGGCTTTCCATCCTAAACACCTCAAGTAAGACGAAAATCTGCAATTTCTACCCCAAAGCAAGATGACAAGCATCCCTATCATTTTCACTTAGGGTACCCCCTGTCCCCAGGACCTCTGGGAGGCTTATAACCCGGGGGGGGAACTCCGCATATGAAAGGGGTGGGGGTGCTCGTCGGAAAATTTGAATTAAACCCCTAAAGGAGACCAATCTGGGCGTGGCCCAAGCTTCTTTTGACCCCTGAAAGAGACCATGTTAAAACACAGACAAATGAGAAAACTTGGATTATATGACTGGAGTAAATATAACGCATTAAAAATATACATATCAAATATATATTTTTAAGTTTTTTTCGCGTGCAACCCTAAACGAGATCTTCACGGCTAAATATGATGGCGTTTTGCCCAGAACACGTAAAGTGAGACCGAAATCCGAAATTTACACCCCTAAGCAAGACGACGAGCATCTCACCCCATTTCATATGCGGAGTCCCCCCCCGGGGCTTATAATTTGCAAGATGATTTTCAACTTTGCCAGGTTTGATCGCAAAGCTGATCTTTGTATCCTTTCCACTTTAATTAATTAGCCTTGTTCAAGCCACCCTTATTCCGTGACTATATCATGTGCAGTGGAATGTGCAATGTTACCCGTGAAAGTTGCGAGTACATTCTTACAAAGAAGGGCCCAGGAAATTCAGTGGTTATTGTGGTAGGAGGAGCTGAGGAGGCATTTGATGCCCACCCAGGAACTTATTCCTTGATTCTGAAGCCAAGGAAAGGATTCATAAAACTTGCTTTGAGAACTGGGTGAGTCTGTTTAGAAGAGAAATAAATAATCTTAAGATTTGAACCTAGTGGACAATAAGGGGAAAGCTTGCCATCCAGAAATGTCTCACTATACAGTGGAACCTTGTCATATGACCATCCTGTTTAAATAACCACCTTGTTATCATGACCATATTCTTTCAACCCAGACATAAAAATCACTGAGTCATTTTATTACCTTAAAGACCCCGATAATGTGACCACCTCATTATTACAACCAGGATTTTATGGCCCAACAATTGTTGCATTAACAGGGTTCCACTGTGCAAAAAATACTACCCCAAACATGAGATAAATGGGGAAAAAAGAGGGCAAGGCCAGTATTTAGCCATCTTGACTGAACAAGCTTGGTAAATGAAGAATGATGATGATAATGTGGCCAAAGGAAAACGTTTTCTCATGGAAAAAGCAGAAAATCCCAAGCAGGCAATTTAGTCGATCAGAACACAGGGTTCTTCTTCTAGCCAGGGTTCTTTCCTGTTTCGCAGGGAGAAAGAGAAAAGGAGAGGGTCTCTTCCTGCGAAACATTTGTAGTGGTGAGGAGAGACAGCTGTATTCACAGGCCATTTCCCTCTCTTGCCTGTGCTTTGTACTGTAATTCCTACAGTACATTATAGAACCTGAAAAAGTGGTTTAAATTCAATACCAAAATATAATAATTTAAGATGGAAAAGGGTGTAATGTATTGAGAGTACAATTTGCAGGTGTGAAGGTTAGCACCTTCCAGTTTAAAGCCTTAGAAAACAGCCAACATTTCATGACACCACCACTAGTTTCACCATGAAATGATATCTGAGAAATGAGTCCAGAAATTCCATACTGATGACATGTCACTACCCAGATCTGGGTTCTGCTTCCTTCTGATTGGCTGAAGCTTTCAGCTAATCAGAAGCACTCATTTCTCAGATGTTATTTCATGGGGAAACCACTGCAAAGTGTTAGCTGTTTTCTCGGGCTACTTCCCAATCAGTCGCTTGCATTATTGCACCTGCAGCTGCAAATTAAATGCAGTATCTACAGTATAAATTATGTTGGAACTCTGTTGTATTTCCAGAGCTTCGTTAGTTCCAGTATTTGCGTTTGGCGAAAACGATGTATTCAACCAAGTCAATAATCCAAGGGGATCATGGTTGCGAGATATTCAGCTGAAAATACAGAAGAAGGTTGCATTTGCCCCGGTTCTTTTCCATGGCCGGGGAATTTTCCAGTACACATTTGGTTTTTTGCCACACAGAAAACCAATAAATGTTGTTGGTAGGTGATACTGTGAAGTAATATTTCCTTAATAGAACAATTTACTGGTAGATAATATTATATTGTTCCTAGATCACAAATCACAGAAGTAATAGCTTGCTTGATCATAATAATTTATGCAATATAAGTATCAATTTAGGTGCTGGGGAAACTGCCCACCTACCCCTCTCCTAACCCAACGTTTTGCCCTAAGTGAGAAGTATGTGTTATAAATGTTGACTTGGGGGAGGAGTAGATGGGCAGTTTCCTAGAAACCTAAATTGATCCCAATATAATAGTACTTATAAACTGAAATTGAGGTCATTACAGGGAAATCTCAGACCAAGGCCTTGATATGCGAGGTTAATAAGTTATTTATTATATTCTACAGTAATTCGACCCCAAGCTTTTTCAGTTGCCCAGAATGTTCCAAAATGGCAGCAAAGCATAAATAAACGTTCATTTTCTCATGGAACAGTCTAGTCTGTACCAACAAATTCAAATACCTTTTGAGGGACCCCCTTTCTTGGACCCCCTTTCTTGAAAAAGAGAGAAAGACCCTCACTGGTCAATTCCTAGACTAAACCCTGCATCCAGCAAGGTGTTTTTGTCCCATATTACCATTTCCCTGCAAATTAATGGGCCCCATTAATGCACTGGGAAGGGATGCTCTTCAGAGAATTGGAATGGTACCCTTTAATGAGACAGCTTGTGTGTAAGAGACTGCTTTTAGGGAGTTAATTTTTATAAACGTTCTTATAATCTTCTTATCCTTTGCAGTTGGGGAACCTATTTCAGTAACAAAAGTGGACAACCCAACACCTGAACAATTGGATGACCTTCATGCTACTTACATTGACAGACTCAAAAAGCTTTTTGAAGATCACAAATCGAAGTACTATGTTCCTGAATCAACAGAGCTGGTTATTTACTAATAGCATCAAACCTTTTTTTTTTGTTGGACAAAAATAACTGTATGTTGGATGTGTTAATGACCAGTACTGTGACAGTGAAGCTCAGGACTGGTTGACTTTGTACTCATTGCAACTACATAAATGTTTTAGAAATATTTTTAGTGTTAATGTTTATGCAAAAAATAATATGTATTTGTTAGCAGATTTACATGTATGAATGGCAATGGGCACTTTTATACAAGATTCTTAACTTGTAAAGTAATAGTATTTAACTGCTAATAAGTTTTATAATCCACTTCCCTTGTGATTTAAATCAAAGAGTAGCTATTTAGTGATAGATTAACTCCATTTATAAGTTAGAAAAGACAAAATATATTATAAATATTATAAAAAAGTTGTTTTAACATATATATAATATTTTTCAAGTACAAATTAATGTGATAGCTAATGTCAATTATACCATTAACTTTTAACCCATTATTTGAAAATTTTTTAGTAGACTCCCCGCCAGAAAAGTGACCCCATGTTAATTGCACACATGTAATGCCTCGTAATTAATTTTTATGAATTGAGACAGTATAAAAAAAATTCTGTACAAAATAATAACATTAACATGTCATTGCATCAAAGGCAATGTAAATAACAATACAGGTACTAGGAGAACCATACTTTGTCTTTAAAATATAGTCAATAAAATAATAAAATAAGGATTAACTATGAGAGCTTTGTTGGGATCTGTGGATGAAATCTTGTGGTCTTACCATTTAAATAAATTAAAACTCTTCAGACAACAAGATTCCACATGGTAGATGTCAATGCATTGCACTTATATTAGTTTTCTCAATTTTACAGCATAAAATTGGAAGCTTTGCTCTGTATGACTTATAGTAAGCTTTTGCTACATGTAGAAATGAAAGTGTTCATTGAAACGTGCATAGTGATCTGTATAATTTATAGATTCTTACACCAATGATCTGAATGATCTGACTGCAGATCAGGCCAGTCTGACTGTTACTACCTAACACTGCCTGTTTCTGTTAATAATACCTTTTCTTTACATTGACACTCATCCCATATACAACAACCCAGCACAGATCAATATTTATTATTATTATATTATTATTATTATTATTATTATTATTATTATTATTATTATTATTATTATTATAATCATAACTATAACAAAATTCTCAAATCTGATTGGCTATCAACTGCCCTGACTTCAGCCTTAATTGGACAATTTAATTGGACAGTACGCAACATGCCTAAGTAATTGGACAGTAGGCGCCATCACGCGTGCGCTTAAATGGCTTTTTTTCACTACTAGTAAAAAAAAATTGGAATTTCTTCTGTTTTGATTTCAAAAAAGGGTCTTATCCATCACAAATTTTGTTAAAGTTATGATTAATTGGTAACAGAACTTCGTGTCGTCCAATTCAGTCTGTAATCATACTCATGATTAAACAAATCGGACTCCTGCTACGTTAATCACTCGTATGATTACGGACCGAATTGGACTCCACTCAGTCCTGTTACCATTACTTATTACCAGTATTATTATATAATTATTGACTATTGAATGATAAGTTTAGTTTCACTGGGTATGCCATACTTGTTTCGATTATTTTCAAACAATCTTCTTATTTCCATTGAGTACTGTGTATGAAGTTGGTCTATCTGTTCATCACTTGGACTGGTGACTTGCTTTACATATATTGGTGAACCAACTGAAGACAAAGAAAGAGACATTACCCTGTAAGCCCTAAAGAGTGATCAGCATAAAATTTCTCCTAAGGCTCGTAATATCTATGCTTAAACAAAGCAGTCATGAGAATTGAGGACATGATCACAGAAGTTGAATCTAATAAATGAATACAAATTCTTCCCAATTTTGTTATTGAAAAGGTATGGGGACAACAAAGAAGAATTTAAATTTAGTTAAAGGGCTAAGAGCCAAAGGGTTAGATATTAAGAGACTGTTCCCCAGAAAGTTTGAAGTAGAAGGACAAAAACATTTAATGTGTAGGCACTTCTTTAATGTCACACAGCCATTTGTAGGGGTAGTATACGAGGGGGAATACCCCCCTCCCCTTCTTCATTGTGGGACTCTGTGGCCCCCTGGGAAATGTCCTGAAAAGTGCATCTCGGGGCATGTTTTATAGGAAAGAAATTTTGGCCAAGAGGATGACACATTTTATTACCCACATTATTTGACATATATATCATAATATATGTTTGTTCTACCAAACAAAAGTGTTGGGAAACAAAATAAAATGAAATATGATGAATTTATTGTGTCACACTTCTGTGAGAAGCCAGAGCCTCTGTGTTGACTAGAAGATGATTTTCACCTTTGCTGGTCCTCAGGACTTCTGGAGAAACTAGCTACCTGGGCCACCATAGTAGGAGGGCATTAATGGCGTAACTAGAAATATTACTCTATCCAAAAGAAATATTTGCTTGATTTAAGTCTCCATAAGCATTGTCCAAGTTTCGAATTCACAATAAATGTCCTAAAGTACTGTTAAAATTAAAAATCTTACCTACAACTGTAATTGGATTGTTATATGGCAGACCTGGAATGTATTTTCCAGAAAATGAAATCACTATTCCTTTGATCATAAGCTTTGACCATTTCTTCAGGAGTGATGTGTTTGAACTCTTATAGCTCTTCAGCCATTCATAGTTGGCGAAAGATGGAATTTTGAAGCTATCATTTTGTCCAAATCCAAACACAGGAACCAGAGATGATCTGTAATGAGCAACAACACGTCATTATTAGAAAAATAGTAAATTATATATATTCTCACCCAAAATAGCTACAGACAAAACAAAATGAACCTAAATGCATAAGATATGGGAGAATCGGCCTGGAGCTTTGCGAGTCGGCAGACCAGGAGAGAATTCTCCATTGCTAAGGGGAGGAGGGTGGGACGACAACTACTAGCTAGGTTACAGAGACCTAAACTTTACTAGAACTGGCTGAATTACCATGGAGGCTGCTGTTTAAACTGAGGGACAAGGTCTGTGGGTATGCTGTGTATTAATTCTCCTGGACCACACTGAGAATGCTAGGAAGTTGCTGTTCATACACATAGGATTTTGTGTGTGTTTTCCTCAGTGAGAATATTACAGGTGTTCCTACATTTTATTATTGCAGATTATTTCATGCACATGCATCGCTTATCGTTATCCCTGGGAAGGGTTTAATCATTGTTTGATCACCCTCTGATCCCCTCTCAGTATAGTCTCCTTCACAACCATTATTAGGGTCATCACGCAATGCTCCTTCCCACTAAGTTAGTGGGAGGAGCGTTGCGTGATGACCCTAATAACGGCTGCAAAGGAGACTACTCTACCCCTTTAGAAATTCCAGTTAAAATTCAAACAGTAAAGTCCTTGTAAGTGAATGTGTCTGTGGCCACAAGCAGGAATGTCCACCTATATGGGAAGGTCAAAATGAAGAGTTTGTGTGGGAGTTGAAACAGGGGTTTTGTGAAGGTGCCTGTAAGCAAGTACAGCTCTCTGTCTACAAGAGTGTCTGTTAAGAGTCTGAGTTTCCACTACTGTACTTTACTTTAAGCCTTGAAGACCCTTCTAACAAGGCTACTTTCTAGAACCAAAACATTAAACCGTAAAGGCTCAAGTACATGTTTCGATGCCCTATGTGATTTCTTAACTCAAGCAAGTTAAAGGAGTAAATCAATTCATCAGGGTAGATAAAATAATTATGAAACAAGACTGATGGGAAAGCATGGTGGGCATTATAGTACCCTGTCTCCAAAGCCATCTTGACGAATTGCTTGCGTCTGTTAAGAGTAAGAATGTAATCTCCTAAGCATGAATCCAGCATCTCAGCAGCTCCTCCAGGTACTAATGCAATAGAGTGCCCTGCACCCATCTGGGTTAGTATATATCTACAACTCTCTGATCCTGCATCAACAAGTCTGAGTCCCATTGCAATCTCACGATATAGTGGTGCTATAAAAAACACTGGATGGATCAAAAAAAGAATNACATGCATCGCTTATCGTTATCCCTGGGAAGGGTTTAATCATTGTTTGATCACCCTCTGATCCCCTCTCAGTATAGTCTCCTTCACAACCATTATTAGGGTCATCACGCAATGCTCCTTCCCACTAAGTTAGTGGGAGGAGCGTTGCGTGATGACCCTAATAACGGCTGCAAAGGAGACTACTCTACCCCTTTAGAAATTCCAGTTAAAATTCAAACAGTAAAGTCCTTGTAAGTGAATGTGTCTGTGGCCACAAGCAGGAATGTCCACCTATATGGGAAGGTCAAAATGAAGAGTTTGTGTGGGAGTTGAAACAGGGGTTTTGTGAAGGTGCCTGTAAGCAAGTACAGCTCTCTGTCTACAAGAGTGTCTGTTAAGAGTCTGAGTTTCCACTACTGTACTTTACTTTAAGCCTTGAAGACCCTTCTAACAAGGCTACTTTCTAGAACCAAAACATTAAACCGTAAAGGCTCAAGTACATGTTTCGATGCCCTATGTGATTTCTTAACTCAAGCAAGTTAAAGGAGTAAATCAATTCATCAGGGTAGATAAAATAATTATGAAACAAGACTGATGGGAAAGCATGGTGGGCATTATAGTACCCTGTCTCCAAAGCCATCTTGACGAATTGCTTGCGTCTGTTAAGAGTAAGAATGTAATCTCCTAAGCATGAATCCAGCATCTCAGCAGCTCCTCCAGGTACTAATGCAATAGAGTGCCCTGCACCCATCTGGGTTAGTATATATCTACAACTCTCTGATCCTGCATCAACAAGTCTGAGTCCCATTGCAATCTCACGATATAGTGGTGCTATAAAAAACACTGGATGGATCAAAAAAAGAATGTGATTCTTCTGTGGATTTATTAATAACTTTGCCTTTCTAGTGGCTACGTAATCTTTAGTCTGCTACACAGGCAATGCTCCTCTCCACGATGGCTGTGTAGCATATTTACGTAATCTTAAGACTACCTTAAAATATCATTTTACTTCAGTTTAACAATGTTTTACTGAAGACACAGGAACTGTTTACATGGAGGAAGAAAGATCCTAGAAGGCGGATCATCCTAGCAGCTGCAAACATTTTCTGTTCAGTTTACATTAAAAAGGAGACGTGTGTGGCCGAGTGGTTAACACCTCGAACTCTGGATCTGGAGGTCCTGGGTTCAATTATTAAGCCTCACCCATCACCTTGTTTCCTTTGACAAGGAACTTTACTCCACATTGTCCCTCGTCACCCTGGCGACATACTGCTCGGGGGTAACCCTGCGATGGGCTAGCATCCCGTCCAGGGAGGAGTAACAAATACAGTAAAACCCCACATATGAGAACCTGGGTTTTAAGAACCTGTTCGGCTAAAATTTTCATTTTAAGTTCCCTCCACATAGGAACTTATTAAGGCTAAAATTTTAAGTTCAGTGGAGTTGCTGTAAAAGTGTATCAACTTTGAGATGGCATTTCAGAGAACTGACCATGAGTTTCTTTGTTATGTTTTGTTACGGATATACCTGCACTGTACTGCCTTTAGGCGTTATGTTATAAATGATTGTATTATGAGATGATATTTATAATATACTTAAATGAAATTCGTATGAAATATATGTGTATAGAGACCAGTCTGGAGAAATTTGTATGGCTTGAAGGGTTAATATGGTCGCATTTTTACAAAAAATATAAAACCTACTGGAATGGCTGCCAATATGCGGTGAGATGCCAGGGAACGTTTGCTCAAAACCAAGCTGGTTTGTGCCAAAACTGATCATCAACCCATCGGGCATAAATCCGTGAGGATGATAACCAAAAATGTAGTTCCTTTCGGGATCGAGGTCAGCTGTTTTCACAAGTGTTATAGGGTAGTAATCTCGCATACATCTGAGCGGAAACAGGGCGCCAATGAAATTAATGACAGCGGCATTTCTTCCACCTTGTCTAGGGGTCCTCCAATCTACGAACACCCACGCCAAATATAACGCCAAAAGAGGCCAAATCTGTGGATTTAGGAGGAGAAGATACAGAGCTCCGACCCCAAAAACACCAGTTAAGCCCACCAGCACAATTGTGTAATGAAGAAGGACCGCAAAACCTTGGAATAATTTCGCAAAATTCCCTTCTTTCCACATTTTGCTCAGTTATACAAAAATCCCCAGGCACTTTTCGACCTCCCCAGGTCTCCCCTTTCCCTCTGGCAACACAGGGTCACCAGGAAAGAACTAACCCCGTTTGGCGGTGCAAATTAGAACATTTGCAAAGCTACATAAACACTTAGCACCAGATTTCATAAGCAAGCCTATCGACCTTATTTTGTTTTATGTGTGCCTGTAAGGATTTCAAGTAGAGCTGTAAGAGAAATTATAGGAGATTTTCGTAGCGGAAAATCACAGTCAAACCGGAAGCGTACCCCTCTGTGATCGTGAATCTTCGATGTTTTTGTAGCAATGTCGGGTCTTGCTACTCAAAAAGTTCGTCTTCTTCAAGGATTAAGCGTCCTTGTTTTCTACTGGACTTTAGCCTGTGGTACATGTTTTGGGTTCGGAGCACTCATAGTTTATGTGGTATTTAATCGTTTGTTTATGATTTGGCCGCTCGGTGTCCTTTACCTGACGTGGGTATATTTTGTTGACCGTAAGACCTTTAGCCGTGGGGGTCGAAGAGTGGAGTTCATTAGAAACAACCCGTTGTTTAAGTATATGAGAGATTATTTCCCAATAAGTTTGGTCAAGACCACAGAGCTCGACCCGGCGAGGAACTATATATTTTGTTATCATCCACATGGCGCTCTCTCAGATGGTCTAGCTATTGGCTTTGGATCAGAAGCTTTGCAATTCAGCGAGAAATTTCCAGGAATCGTCCCTCACATTGGAGTGCATTCATGTAAGTATGGGTAGCATATTAGACCAGGGGTGGGTTACTCCCATAAATCTCGGAAAGGTCTGTGCCGCCCCTCTCTGATTGTGGGGATGGCGTAAGAAGATGTGAGCAGGAAAAACGGCAAAGGGGTGGGGTAGGGGGTGAGAGCAAGGGGATGCCTGTAGTACTTTATAACAAAAGCTTGTTCAGGTCAGCATGCAAAGAAAGTAGTGTCCGATAGCCCAGGGCTAGTGGATTTTGCTATCGGACTAGTGAATTCTGTTTTTAACTTGCCTGACGGGTAAGTGATATTTTTTGAGGAATTTGAATAACAGAAGAACTGTGAAATCAATTCTGCTAGTCAAAAAGTTTTTGGGGCTAGTAAATGCTAGCTTCAGCTTGCCCGAGTGGCAAGCTGTAAAATTCATTGTTCTTTGCACCCTGGTTAAGGTAAACCAGATTCTGCTATACCAATTATGATTGGTTTATTTTGACAGCTCTTGTCAACACTCAAAGGTCCATTACCTTGACTGGAAATGTGATGTGATGGCGATGAGCTAGAGTTTGTGGTGAATGTGGAACACTTCAAAAATTGGAAAATTCAAAAACTGTTTGTTAGATTTTTCTTAAGTTGTTTTTAAAAACGAGGCTCCCCACATTAACTGTAAGCTGTGCAAATTCACAGGGAATTATAATGACTGGATTTTGCATCAACGTAATAAATTCAGAATTTTTGGTTTGTTTTCAATCATCCATGCTGCCATGGCAATAATCAATATTTATGTTTAACCTTATAATGTATTATAATGTACTGACACAATTGAGGTGTTTTTTGCTTCCCGTTCACAGATATGGGTTGGTCTCCAATCTTTCGTGACATTGTAATGGGTCTTGGTATTGTAAGTGTCAGCCATGAAAGCTGCAAGTTTGTGCTGACTCAGCAGGGTCCTGGACATTCAGTTGCCATTGTTGTTGGAGGTTCCCCCGAAGTTCTTACCATGTTTCCTGGCTCTTATATTCTTACTTTGGAAAGACGAAGAGGCTTCATCAAGCTGGCCTTGGAGACCGGGTAACACTTGTCATTTTTTTGATGTGGCATGAGGAGGGCGAATTGAAAGGAATCTGTTCTTGGAGGAACTCTTCCATGTGAATAAGATGGGATGCTTCGTCTCTTGCTTAGAGGTGTGCATCACAGATTTTGGTCTCACTGAACCCTTTAAGCCCCAAGATCCACATACAAATTCTCCAGACTGATCTCCATACATTTCTTTTAAGATTAGTTGAGAGAATTTGGTTTAAGATCAAAGCATTGTTCGTTTGGTAATCAATGTAGTAATTCTCATAACCTTTCCCTTGATGATCTGCTGATGTTGTTAGGAGAAAATTGATGTTGGTCACTCTTGGGACCAAAAGGGTTAAAGAGTTCAGGACAGTAAACCAAATTTTTTCCCATACTGGTGTCACTTGAGAAAACAAACCAAACGCTGTCAAGTGGTGTTGAGAACAGCATTAAATTAATGCTGTTTTCAATACCAATTGACAGTGCTTTGATGTCAACATCTTTGACACAATGAAAATCACTAAAGCTTGGTTGTCCGATCTGTCTCAGTACAGTCGCCTTTTGGGGTCACATTTTAAATGACTGGGCCACACCCAGATTGATGTTCTTTTGGGGTGTAATTCTATATTTTCTGAGGAGCATTCCTGTCAAATTCACATGGGAGTTGCCTCCTCTCTGGGGATTCCCCCATTTAAGTGGTCTGTTTACCAGGTCTTCCTAATGCCTAGGGCTTGAAGTTTTGACTGTGACCACTTGACTGTCACTCTTTGTTTATTTAAGAGATATGTGTGTCTTTGGCAGCAACACTTAGGTGATTCTCTAGTAAAAGAAACTTTATCTTTATTGAATTTTACCCCGGTGACTCAACACGGTGACGAGATGAAACAGGACTTGTGTCTGAATTGATATCGACCCCTTCATTACCCACCCAGCAAATGAAAGGTTGTACAACATCCTCGGGGTCTACACCCCCTACTCTTTACAAACAGCAGTGTGGGTTCTTTTACATCTCACAAGAATCAGAACAGTGCAAGAGCTGTGAGATGAGGCCTAAGGTTTTTCGTCCTTATCCAAGAAGACTAGAGTGTCTAACCATTTGTAGATGTCACAACAAAGCCAGCACATTCTCTTCAGTTATTTTGAGACCTGAGTGCTGGTCCAGCCAGGGTTTGAACCTGTGACCTCCCGCTCAGTAGACTGGTGCTTATTCAATTGAGTGAACCGGGCAGCATAGATCTTTAATGACACTTGGTATACTGTTGTAACAAGTCAAAAAGATGATGAAAACACAATAAAATGAGGGGTCACTGTGATCATTTTCAGAGTACAATGCTGACTCACCACTGACTCAAATTCAGCTATTTTAATACTCACCTTTTGCAATCACCTCACACAGCCCAAACTGGACAAATAAGTCAGGCACGATTTTTCCATGATGCCTTTGATATCACAAAGATTTTAACTTTGTTCTTGGTCCACCCATTTACCAGAAAATGCCTTTGAATACCTTTCTTACTACTTTATTCTTCATAGTAGACTAAACTTGAAAATGCAATGTTCAACTTGTTACAGCCCAATACCTTAGCCATTCAGTTCTTTGAACTGGTGATAACTAAGAAACTACTTCTTTGATATATTTAAGGTCCCCCTTGGTTCCAGTATTTGGATTTGGCCAAAACGACGTGTTTAATATTAAAAAGCCTAAAATCGACTTCCTACTGACTTACAAACCTGGACGTAGCAAGTGGGAAAAGTGGTGTAAAATTTTCTTGAAGTGTGCCACGCTGGTAATGTGTGGGCGTTTTGGAGTAATGCCCTATCCACATCCTATTGCTGTTGTGGGTAAGTTCCAAATAATATTGAAGTTAGAACTTCAGTGTCAGATCCAAGGGAGGGGCCCAGGGTGCCCGCCCCCCCTTATTTTTCGACCAAAATGAGGCCCAAAGGGCCGAAAAACATTTTTTTGGAGACCGGCCCTCCCCCCCTTATCTGAGGGTCTGGATGACCGCTCCCCTCCCCCCTTATCTGAAGGTCTGGATCTGCCACTGTACTTGCCCCATGTTTACGGTACACAGCTAGAGAGATTAGAGACCCTTAAAAGATTGAGGTTTGGCCATTGTATAGACTTTTTTCAAAGTCCTTCCCATCTCACCCGTTTGCCTATACTGGTTTGGGACTTGAGATTCGCAGGGGGTGTTTTTTTTAATTAATCAGCAAAAGAGTTCTAAAAAGTAGTATTCTTCTCAAACCTGAGATTGTGATGTTTGGGGTGCGGAAACCCTTGCTGTAAATCACTTACCTCTAGAGCGAGGTCTAGCCATACAAAAGCGAACCTTAAACCGCAAAGCCGACGGCAAGGCCTTGGTCACGAGACCTCTTGACGTTGGCGGTTTGCTGGAAATGCCGAAAAACCTTGATCTGAAGCTACTGTAAAACCGGCAACAAAAACGTGCAACTTGTTTTGCAACTTCCTGCAAAACGAGTTGAATGACGATGTTGCGTGTTTTACCACCCATAAATAATCAAACCTGTCTTGCAACAAATCGGGTAGTTGCAAGTTACGTGAATACTGACTTCGAATTGGATAAAATTACGCGGAAGTCACGCGATACACGGGAGTTACGTCACTCACTGTAAAGCAAGTTTACCTTGGTCCGGTAAAACGGGCAATATGAACAGATCTTGTTGCAAAAGTAGAACTACTCTCTACTTTCTGCAACAAATTTTCGCAACCTTCAACAACCTAAATTGTTGCAAAAAAAGGTTTGAATGTGGCTAGTAAAGCCTGCAATATCGCTATTCAACTCGTTTTATACTGTTCATTACGTCCAAAAAAATTAGTAGTTTCACGCCAGTTTCATCCATAAGAATTAGTCTGCATAGTTTTTGTATGCTCATTTCACTTGTTGGTTTTGAGAAACTGTCAAATGGAATCTGACATTTGCTATTAAGATTCTAAACTTCTCAAATCATGAGGTCATTTCCCCGCCTTTTTTTACGTTAGTTTGTCCTTTTTAACGAGTAGTTAGTTTTAAGTTCATAAGAAACCCGAGAAAAAACGACATTTTTATCATTTTCGGATACAGTTTGAATCGTATCCTTTTATCAATATGGTGCAGAAACACGAGGAAGACTTGGGTATGAGTAGATGACCTGTCCTGTCACTACGAGAACGAGATTTTCGCAATACTAGGTGGTGCGCGCGTGTGAACCAGCGTCATTTGAGAGAATAAGAGAGAGTGTCGTAGTAGCTGAAAAAAAGTTATCAAGTGTTGGAAGTTTTATCATTATGCGATCGGGAGAGCGCTTAACCTCCTTCAAGAAAAATAACTTTGTTTAAGTACAATGAAGTTTTCCGGGGTGATTTTTTTTTCTAAAAAGACGCCAAAAAACATTAAGTTAAATCTCGTCTCCGTAATTGTCCACGTCCTCGAATCTAAGGGTCTCTAAGTGGCCGACCATTTAACTCATGAGGGGGGGTGGGGTGGGTGATTTTGAAAAAAAAATTCCTGAAAGCGCTTGTTGCTTATGGTGAAAAAAGGGAGAAAAATATCCTGCCCACCAGATTGCTAGAAAAAAAATTCTTGATGACCAGAAATCACCCCCCCCCCCCCTTAAGAGTTAAATGGTCGGCCCCTAATACTAAGTTGATAAAACCAATTGTGTTTAATTTGTTCTACTCAGCCATAGACGCTGTGACACAATTTGTTTAAAAACTTCCTCCCTACTTTGTACTTTCTTAATCCCAGGTTTCTAACAGGTACCATCCATTTAGTACAAAACTAAGTACTGAGTGCAAAAAAAATATGTAAAACAGGTCTAAGCCAGCCCCCCTGGTCTAAGCTAACAATAGAGTATGTCTGAACCTGATAGAAAGCCTCCTGAAAGCAGTATAAATCTGTAAACAGAGACCTGGAACTTTTCATACCAAGCAACAGCACACGAAGCACTATTTAATGTGTAAAAATGACCGTGGTGTTGTTGGGAGGGAGGGGCGTGGGGGGGGCAGTGATTTCATCACTTTGACTCACAATGTATGCAGTTCTCGTTAGATTTGGGTACGCTCGAAACATCAGTTTGCAAATCACTTAATGGATCTTAATGGTAATAACTCTTTTCTTTACATCAGAAGTTGGTAAAACGAAATTTTAATTCCGCCAGAGAAGCAAAACGTGTTGTAGCAACTGATTGCAACTCGAGTAGGAAGCCGTCTTTACTAGAGGTCACCTGAGTGCACATTTGCACATCTACAATGATGGGTTGTACCCTTTGTTGATTAAACAATTACAACAATAATTAGCAGAATCAGATTAGAGTAGTCTTCATTGTAATTTGTTTTTGTTGATTTCGTTTTCAGTTGGATCTCCTATCCCAGTGGAGAAAGTGGAAAATCCAGGCGAGCAACAAATAAATAAACTGCACTCGGAGTACAAAGAGAAACTTATAGAGCTGTTTGAACAACACAGGGATACATGCGGTGTGCCAAGAGAGACTGAGCTCATTATTCAGTAGTAGTGCGTGGCGAAGTCTTAGTTGAGTGCTTTGCGGCTAGTTAAATGTCTTGTTAAGCCTACGTTTTAAAAGAGGGTAATCGTATCTGAGTGAGCGATGGGTTAGTGCGTTTTTAGGCTTGGCTGCGCGGAATTAAGCGAAGAAAACTCGAAATGGTACTTCAGAGGCAGCTTACATAATGTTTTTTAAGGGTAAAAATGAGAAGGCTATAGCATAATAAGAAATTAGTCTATCCAAAGAAAATCCTGGACTAACGTCATGTGATAAACATCATCCATAGGCTTTGCCCAAGGTCCAGTTCACGAGAAATGTCTAGTTAAAGTATTGTTGCAGTTAAAAATCTTACCTACAACTTTATTGGATTGTTATGAAGCCAGACTTGGAATGTATTTTCCAGAAAATATAATCACTATACCTTTGATCATTAGCTTTGACCATTCCTTCAGTGGTATGTATTTGAGCTCTTATAGTTCTTCAGCCATTCCGAGTTGGTGAAAGATGGAATTTTGAAACTTTCATTTTGTCCAAATCCAAACACAGCACCCAGAGATGATTTATCATGAGCAATAACATGTTATCGTTCGAAGGGGCCGCGTCCACACATATTTCTGTGAAGCTTCGTATTATTTTAAAAGAATTGTCAATAAAGTAAATAGTACCTATATTGCTGCTAAGTGTTCCGGCCGCCTCTTTTTGAAATGAAATGAATGAATGATTTTCAAGTTAAATCCTCAGCTCATCATCCTAACCAAGACTGGGAGGGTGCCATCCCTGGTGACGGGGAGTTGGGGGGTGTGGGTAATTTGTGACAAAACGAGACGCGTATACTTCCCGTGTATTGGGCTGCAGTGGTCTGATATTTTCTACGCTGACTTTAAAGCTGCTCCTAAACCGAATATAAACTATAGAAAAAACACACGTTTCGGCTTTCAATGAATGGAAAATTCATGGTAAAAACTTAGGAACCCCCTCCTCACAGAAGTCGGTCCCACTGCAAGGGGAATAGGACACGTTCTAGGAGATTCGTCCGCCATTTTGTCTTTTTTCGACATAGACACGACTTATTTTTTGATTTGGCCACAGACAGCCTAATAAAAAATACCATCAGTTGCATTATTTTATTCCAGAGAGGGCATAGACGAATATGTGCCGCTGAGCAGGGTATATTTGTCAGGTCTTGAGTCTTATTGTCAAATTGGCCGTATTTATACTAGAGGACGTCTAAGACGTCTGAGACGCTTATTCCTGCTATCCCAAACCCACGCCCACATCGCTAGAAATCCCAGTCCGGATTTTTCTGATTTCCGGCACCTGGAAATGTCGTTTCCGTAATTAAACAAATACTTAGATTCAGCAGTCACTATATAGCGCATGCATAGCTCAATAAAGAAATGTATATCAGTAAAATAATAATAATAATAATAATAATAATAATAATAATAATAATAATAATAATGATGATGATGATGATGATGATGATGTAATGGTAATAAATAGTAACTTATATAACAACAATTAATATTAATAATGATGATGATGATGTCATTCTTTTGAAATGCTTTACTGGTTCTAAATTCGTTTTTAGTGCTGTTAAATATACACATTTTAAGTTGTACTTATATATATGAAGCAGTAAAATTTTTATTTTACTTAGTTTTTGTTTTCTCTTTTTTTCAAATTAGCATACGTTATCGTGCCAAAAACTATGGACAAATAAAAATAAAAAATGTAAAAAATATTTTAAAAATATATGAAAAATATAAAAACGGGACGCACTTAACGACGCACTTAACAGTCAGATGTTTAATGCGTCTGTATCCAGCGTCTTTAACCGCCCCGGGGGCCTGTTTCTCGAAAGTCCCGATAATTAACTGGCCCGTAAAGCTGTTGATGATTACATGAAAGCTAGAGGTTTCAATAGTTTTGCATCTTACATGAGAAAACTATCAGTTAATGAAACGAAATGGACTATTTTGCTAGCCAACCCGCGCTCTTATTCTTTTTATATCGATTTTTAATATTTGATTTCGGGCTCGAAGGATCGAAGAGTTATCGGCACCTTGAAGAAACGGGCCCCAGGCCTCCCTGTCCCTCCCGACAGCTTGTCACGCAACGCAAAGAGATAAACACCTTGAAAAGCCTCCTGAACGTTCAACAACGGATTACATAACCAAGCCTCTTGATCATGACCTCATAATGTTTAGTGTATGCCTGTGAGGATTTCAAGTACAGCTATAGAAGAAATTAAAAAGATTTTTGTAGCGAAACATCAAAGTCAAACCGGAAACGAAAACCGGCCACGGCGAATCTTCCATCTACGTTTTCTCATGCAAGTACAGTGACAATGTCCGGACTCGTCCGTTATTTTGCTACTCAAAAAGTTCGACTTCTTCAAGGATTAAGCGTGCTAGTTTTCTACTGGATTTTGGTCTTTGGTACGTTATTTGTGTTTGGAGCACTCATAGTTTATGTGGTAATTAATCGTTTGTTTATCATTTGGCCGCTCTGTGTCCTTTACTTGACGTGGGTATATTTTATTGACCTTAAGACCTTTAGCCGAGGAGGTCGAAGAGCGGAGTTTATTAGAAGCAATCCATTGTTTGATTATATGAGAGATTATTTCCCAATAAGTTTGGTCAAGACCACTCAGCTCGACCCGGCGAGAAACTACATATTTTGCTATCATCCACATGGTGCTATCCCAGATGGTCTAGCTATTGGCTTTGGATCAGAAGCTTTGCAATTCAGCAAGAAATTCCCGGGAATTGTCCCTTACATTGGAGTGCATTCATGTATGTATGCATATTAGAACAATAGGAGTATGTACATTAGTACATAACAGCAACAACAGAAGTGATCCCACTTCCTCATACCCAGATCGCACCCTGTCTTATGCTGTTTGGCAGTGGAAGATGTGGGTATGAGATTACCCACCTCATCAGTGTAAGATAAATATTTTTTACCTGAGCCCAATCACGCAGGGTTGTCAAAAGTAGCCAGCTTCCCGCAAAAATCGTCAACTACTTGGTTAGTATCGGCCGGCTACTCTGCTTGGCATTTCTTTACTAATGTCATTTCTTTAAAATTAAACTTTCCCTGAACTGGCCGCTTACTTTGACAACTCAGCTGTCTACTTCAAAACTTTCTGACAACCCTGATCACAACCAACAGTTTGACAGTTTCAGAAAATTGATAAATTCCTTTCACTCTTTCTCTCTGCTAGGGGAGAAAGATTGGATGCTGTTAGAGTGAGGGGGGTAATTTAAACATTACTGATACAAATTACATAAGTATGTTGCATTTTAAAACTTATGATTATCATCTGTCATTGTCTTAAGGAATATGTATATAATTATATTTTCAAAATTTAATTTGGGATACAAATTATAATTCCCAATATTAACCAAAGATTATACTTTATGGACACCCGCTTAATGCGTACACCTTATTATTACCGACAGTATGCTTTTTCCCTGGGGAAAGAAAGCCCTCACACTTTCTCTAGATTCAACCCACTTAATACAGACACCCTGTTTATATGGCCGACACGTTCTATGCCCCCCTTAGTGTCCGTATTAACAGAGGTTGACTGTATTTAGGTTCTCCCTAAAAATTATATTGCCTCATAATCTGTTGGTCTGTAGGAGTACACGTTGGGGTGAATGATATTAACTAAGAGTAAGACACAGTGGTCATTTCTCACCTCACCTGAAGTGCCTTGAGTGCAAGTTAATTAAAAAGTTAATTAAGCACTTATCTATTTCTCTACCCCTGTGGAAACTGCGGAATAGAGGTTTTGAGTATTTTTTTACTTCCTTTCCACAGTTATGGGTTGGTCTCCAATCTTTCGTGAAATTGTAATGGGTCTTGGAGTAGTAAATGTCAGTCGCGAAAGCTGCAAGTTTGTACTGACTCAACAGGGCCCTGGACATTCAGTTGCCATTGTTGTTGGAGGTGCCTCTGAAGTTCTTAACCTGTTTCCTGGCTCTTATACTCTTACTTTGGAAAGACGAAAAGGCTTTATCAAGCTGGCCTTGGAGACTGGGTAACATTCCTCTTTTTTTGGATGTGGCAGGGGAATGGCAAATGTTTCGAGAGGAATATGTTTCTCAAGGGAGATTTCCATATTAGTGGTAGAAATTGCTGAGTTTGGTCTCACTTAGGCTGTTCTGGATTAAAAAGCCCCTATTTTTACCTGTACCATTGTCACTTAGGGCTTTGCATAAAGAATTATGTACAGAAACCAGACTTGGACGCTGTGTTAAAAAACAGCATTTGATGCCAAACATCTTTACCACTTTGAAAATCACTGTAGCTCTTATTTGAGTACAGTCTCCTTTAGGAATCAGATGGGATACTAAAAACTGAACAAATCTGAGCAATTTTTTCCATGTTGCCCTTGACATCGCAGAGAACTTGTCTTTATTCAGTTGTTTATCCTCATACGCATCAGAAAATGCCTTTGAATACCTATATTGTTTTTACTTTAAAACTTTAAGGTAGACTTAGATATGCGCTATTTTACTCAGTACAGCTCAATCCTTTAATTTCCCATTTGTCCATTGAACTGATGATAACTAAGAAACTGCTTCCTTGCCATATTCAAGGTCCTCCTTAGTTCCAGTATTTGGATTTGGGCAAAACGACGTGTTTAATAAACAGCCGAAAATCGACTACCTGTTGAGATACAAACCTGGACGCAGCAAGTGGGAGAAGTGGTCAAAGGTTTTCTTGAAAGGTGTCATGCAGGTCATGTTTGCGCGTTTTGGAGTCATGCCCTATCCACATCCTATTTCTGTTGTTGGTAAGTTCCAAATGATACTTAAAACGTTAGAACGTTGCACCACGTTTACGAAACCCTGTTCGATGCGTTCAAATAGTGGGGATGACAAAAAGAAGGAAAAACGAAGGAAGGAAGGAAAAATGGCAAGGGGGTGCACTCCACTATCCGCAAACGGTACGATAATCACTTGGTCATTTTCCCGCCATTGTTTGCGTTAGTTTGTCGCTTTCAACGTGAAGAAGTTACTTTTGGCGTTCGTGAGAAACGTGAGTAAAACTGATGTTTTTTTTTTTATCATTGTTAGATACAATAGGGATCGTATCTTAAAACATCAGTTTTCACATCACGTTTTATAGTGGAAGTCACACTTCTCTATCATCATTTGACAAAACCAAATTTTAAAGAAACGAAACGGGTTTTATTGACTGCCGGAGTGTCTTGCGTAAACGGGTGAGAGAAGTTTTTTATGCAACTTCACCGGCACATTTGCTCATCTGTAGTGATGGGCTTTACCCCGTGTAGATTATACAATTAGAATAATCTTAACTGTAACCTGTTTTTCTTGACTTCCTTTTCAGTTGGATCTCCTATCCCAGTGGAGAAAGTGGAAAATCCAAGCGAGCAACAAATAAATAAACTGCACTCGGAGTACAAAGAGAAACTTAAGGAGCTGTTTGAACAACATAGGGACGCATGCGGTGTACCAAGAGAGACTGAGCTTGTTATTCAATAGGGAGCTTTAGCATCGACGACGTTAACGGCAGCGAAAACGTCAGTTTTAAAATGAATTCCCGTTTTTTCTATCTTTGCCGCGTTTATTCCAATTTGGTGAAAATGGCAAGTGTAGGCGAATTTCCCTGGAGTTGATTTCTTGAGGAGCGCACTCAAGTTTAGAGAGAAAAAAAGAGATTCGTCGTCGCTTGTTTACGTCCTCCATAAAACTTGCAACTGGGCATTTTTACGTCGTAGTCGCGCAAGGACGGGAAAGAAATGTACAAAAAAGCATGATGCATGTGCAACGTTGTTGTTTTGAGTAATAAACCTATTGCTTTGTTGACGTCCTCGTTGCCGTCGCCGTCGTCGTTGCTAAAGCTCCCTAATAGTAGGGCGTGGCAACTCTTAGTTTAGCGCATTGCGGCTGATGGAATGCTTTGTTTTCCCTGTCGGGGAAATAAGCCTTCGTTCAAGAGAAAAACCGGACATGAGTGAGCGCTAGAATTAGAACCTTAATGAATGGTGCGCGTGATAGGCTTAGAGTACCTCGCGAAACTAAACTTAATGGTAGTTAGCCAAATAGAACTTTGACATTGCAATCGTTGCAGGCTGTCATTGTGTCTCAAGATATTAAATATATATAACTATTTCTAACTATTTCTGGTCGCAGCTGTTGCCTTAAGAGCTATCTCTTTAACACCTATAATAACAGACAGGAACAGAGTTTTGAAAGGTTTGACGCAGTTTAAATTTATACTTTAAGAATTTTGATACTGCTATCCTAAAAAATCCTGAATGGCCCTGGCGTTTGCCGACGACCCAGGACTTTTCCAGCGTCCACTGGAGCGGTGCTACTCAGGGATCTGGGAACGCGATTGTTGGTGGCATTTTCTGCCGCAGACTGCGCGGGTCGCAGCGGCAACAGGTATTAAATGTAATGTATATGGTACAAATGAAACTTTTGTTGTGAACTGCTGGCTCTAACAAGGTGCATTGTGGAATGGAAGCGGATATCCAGGGGAAAGGTGCACGTGGCCGTGTCTGCTAAAGCAACGGCCAAAAAACTCAGTGCCACTTTTGATGCTGGTTAGCATTGTTGATTTACCCTAATTAATGTAAACTTTATAGTTACCTGGTACCGTTTTGTTTTGTTCAATTTTATTTTTATTGATTTATTGATTTATTGATTTATCATAATTTTTTATTGTCCTTAATTTTTTTTCTTTATCTTTCGTGTGTCACAACCCTAAAGAATGCAATTTGATTTTTGCAACTACTCATGAGTTCGTTTAGTTTTTCTCTATTCTGGGTAGTTTTTTGCCTGATTTACTTTGATCTACTTTAATTTATTCTGTTCCTGTGAACTATTTTTTAACTTGGCAAATAAAATGGTTTGTCGTTGCTGTTGTTGGCTTGTTGTAAAACTGTAGGATTCCGTTAACGTCGGCCCTGATGGAGCTTGTGATGTTTGACGACGATGAGAGAAACTACAGTACTTGGAGAATTGCACTGCTATCATCTCAAAGGACGTATCTAACCGGAATGTATAAACAACGGCTCTTGCCAATAATTTATTGAGTAACTGGTTTTACTATCATTAAGTTCTCTGTACCTTGCTTAGCGAATTTGATCTGATTATCCAGTGTCCAAAGCAGGACTGGCCTTCTGGCCTTGGGAATGGACATTGTCCAAATCTTTTTCTACGTTCAGATAGATTAGGTAATTTTATTTCCATAGATTGACGCCAAAGTTTTGTAACTCAAAGATGAAAATTAAAAGATAGTGCTGCTAATCTGCAATGTTGCATTGTTGGTGATGTCTTGTCCAAGAGTCTCGTGCAGCGTTGTTCCAGTAATATCTGTGGGACCAACGGAGTTTTTTTCTCGTCTCCTGAAGCCACAGTATCTGCTCAATAAGGTTCTCACAGCTCTTCGGTATTTCGGGATTCTCCAGGCATACACAAACGGGTCGAGACAGGAATTCAGTAAAATAAACCTTAGAGAAATTTGAAGGAAAGTCTCTATCGCTTCTGAACTTGCACAATCCAAGCAAAAATTACTTAAGTTGATCGCGATAACATAGGGAAGGAAAGCCACATAAAACAAGCACAGAACAAGAACAAAAGCTTTTGTTGTGTTCCTCTCTCTTTGAGCTGTTTTCTGGCTCATCCGTTCACTCCCAGGCTCCAAGTCTTTCATTCGACGCATATGCGCTTCAAGTGCACTGAATGTCCTCCAGTATACTACAGGTAGTACAAGAAGTGGAAGTGACACATGAAGGTGGCAGAAAAGCATTTCAAATACAAAGTACGGGACAGTTGGTGCAAAAACGAGGCTTGTAAACAAAGCTGCATAGATCCAAAAGAGAATTATTGACACCTTAATCCGTCTGGCTGTTACTACGTGCCGATAGTTCAACGCCCATCTGACAGCTACCCACCGATCACACGCCATTGCAACCACGTTGCAGCAACCCACAGTGATGCTCATTACACCTGTAAAGATGACGACCGTCAATAAGGTATGAACCCGGTCTGTGTGCTTGGACTTGTCGATGAACAGCACGGCGTCGTGGGCTGTAAGAAGACTTCCCGCAAAAACTCCCAGCATGAAATCAGCGATGGCCATATTTATAACCAAACTTGTGCTCGGAGACCTTAAATTTCTGTGAGGATTTTTGTATATGGTGAGCAACAATGTGAAGTTCCCTATTCCCGCTGTTACTGTCATCACAACACCAATCAGCATGATAGGCAAACTTTGAAATTCGTGACTCGATCCCGCGGGTTCTGTCCCGTTAAATACAAACTGTGCATTGGAGAAGTTCATAGCTGCGCTAAAAGTCGGTGCTTAGTTTGCTTTGTCATGTCATTCAGCTTATCCTTCTCGGTGAAGAAACGCTGAAAATTTTCAAGAGGAATTGATTAGCTCTAATAATTGATAAATAGAAAGATGTTTTAGATGCTTTTTCCTACTACCCTTAACATGATTGTGAACTTTCGCATTTTTAAAACTGACGTTTCGCATATAACATATATATTTCAAAAGTGATCTAAAGTGACCGTGATGAATTTAAATTCTTAACAGAGAAATCACTGAAATTATGTAACAAAAAAGCTCCAATATTGAGAGGAACTTGCGGATCGAGGAAAGCTGGGCGAAAACCGCCTGAGGGCTGGAAAGAGACGGAGCAATCCGCCGTTTTTAGGCTCGTTCGCTATTTCACTGCTCGCTTGCTTATTCGTTCGTCTGCACTGACTGAGCCTGGCACAAGTTACTACCTACACTCTATCGTTGTGGTAGGATCAGTTTGTGACTATCAAAATTATACACATAGTACATAAATTAAATTTAGCGGCTATAATTACATCTTAGTGTTATTAAGCCATTTTCCGGAAATCTGAAAATTGCAATATGGATAACATTAATTCTAACAAGCATACATTGTAACTGAAAGAAATACGGATGTTATAAGATTAGCCTGCGTAGCAGTTAGGACAAGAGCAAAATGAGGAATGAAGGGTGGAGGAAGAACTGACTTCTCCATTATTCCACTTCTTCCATTCCTGTTTTCGCTCATAAATCAATTGGAAAAGCTTGCCAC